AATTCATACGTACATTTTTTTTTTTGAACAGCAAAGGACTATTTATTATTTAAATGAGTACAAGGGGTACTCACCCCATTTACACCACTAATAAGGCAATCAAGAAGCCATTACATTACATCCGGCTTTACCTTTGATGGCTTTCCTCCTTCTACATCTATCTTTCATGCAATCAATAGGATTAAGAAGCCAATCAAATAGAGTGAATGCATACCTTTCATTTCTTGCTTTAATCCATATGAAAGACCTTAGTTGAATTAATTCAAACAGCTTCCCCGCATTTATCTCTTTGTGCTAAAATAATTTCTTATTGCGAGCAAGCCACACTGTCCACACCACCATACTCCATATGCAATCCCATCCTTGTCTTGTTCGTGTTCCTTTACTCCATTCTCCAAATTTTTCAAAAGTCTTCAAATAGTCGATGTCGAGTTTTGCCTCGGCCCCCCACCATTTGGCACATGCCTCCCATAGCCCTCGAGACAGCCTGCACCTTAAGAATAGATGAGCTGAGACCTCATCTTGTTCTTCACATACAACGCACTTGCTCTCCTCCATGTCTTTAATAATCCCCCTTTTTAGCAAGTTCACTTTGGTTGGTATTCTATCCAACATTAGTTGCCAATTGAATGCTGAAACTTTGGTCGGGAGACTTGGGTTCCATACTCTTTTGAATATTGTAGGTCCACATGGTCTGCTTTGATCCGTTGCTAATATGTGGTATGCTGATTTTGTTGAGTAGTGTCCCTCCTTGTCGTGAATCCATTCCCATTTGTCGGGCTGGCCTTGAATAACCTTCACGCCCTCTATCATCCTTTCGAGTTCCACGACCTCTCCAGCTTCCCATTCGAATAGATTTCTTCTCCAAGTTAACTTCCATTCCCATGATCCACTCCTTATGTTGCCCATTTGATTGCATGAATTCTCCTTCCCTATTGACAGGAGATATAGCCTAGGAAATTTGTTAGCAAGGCAACCCTCCCCTCCCCAATTATTCCACCAAAAGCTGGCTGATTTTCCATCCCCAATTTTCATTCTAAATCCCTTCGACAGCCATCCTACACTCTCCTCATTCACTCTATTAAGGCAGCATACATCCCTCCACCATAAGGATCCCCCTCCATTGTTTTCTTTAATCCAATCCATCAAGTGCTTCCCATCCTTACCATATTTCGCTGCAATTATTTTCATCCATAGTCCCTCATCTACTTTTGTTAAACATCCCCACCATTTCCCCATCAGTGCCAAATTAAACTTCCTCAAATCTCTCACTCCCAACCCTCCCTTTACTTTACTTTTACATACCTCCCCCCAATTTACCCAATTTATTTTCCTCTCCTCTGCCCCCCCGCCCCATAAAAGTCGTCTACGAATTTTATCAATTGAAAGGAGTGTACCTTTTGGGATTAAGTAGGCTGACATTAGGAACACGGGCAGAGAAGACAACACTGAGTTTATGAGCGTGATACGACCTCCCATAGAAAGGAATCGGCCCTTCCAGCTAGCTAGTTCTTCTCAACTGATTGTACCATTGATTGCCACATTGATTTTCTTCTGTTATTCCCCCCTACTGGGATTCTCAAGTATTTAAATGGAAGTTCCCCTTCTTTGCAGTGCAATCTATATGCCATTTCTGTTAGCCAATTCATACGTACATTTATATAGGAATTTCTTTGAGTGTACATAAATAGACAAGAATTTTGCATTGCGTTAACAAATTGCATTTATTTAGTAATAAAACAAAGTTAAACATGGCGAAACAAACCCCATACATTTATTTAGCCGTATTTAGCCCTTATTTTTCCTCCTAATTAATTCCCTTAGTTGAAGTTCATTTGATATTTAGGCTGCTTGTTTGGAGAAAACAGGCCCCAGTGTTTTTCCACCTCCTCTCCCCCCTTATTATTCTCATCAAACATGGCAAAAATGTATGTCTCAATGGACTTTCCTTGCTTCTTCGGAGTCCCTCCCTTCACATGCTGAACCAAATTGTTGTTATAAATCTTCGCATTTTCAACCGTCGTATCCCTTCCACCCGCAGTAGGCCAGCCGCTTTCTGACACCACAATCTCTAAATTACCCCCTCCGGACTTCTCAAGGGCTGCGTAGACCGTATCTAGCATTGCGTCAAAAAGATTACTGTATTGTAGCGGTCCATCTGATACCACTGGTGAGGGAGCCGTGAAGAGAGCGTAATCAAGACGAATGTTAGCGTCGCCAGCATAACTAAAGTAAGGGTACAAGTTAACGAGCAATGGAGCTTGATTGTTCACCAAGAAACTGATTAAGGGATCAAGAATAGGCTTATATTCCGCCTTGAAAGATCCCTTTGACGGAGGAAAAGATGCACCGTCGAGGACCCGGGTGTCAATAGCCGTGGACACTTTGATTCCAAGTCCAGCTCCTGCAAGTGCATTTTGGATGTTTTGCATGGCGGGGACTAGAAACTGTGCAAAAGAATCCGTGGGCTTAACTTCGTTTCCTACAGCGATGTAGCGGAACTTGACATCTGGGTAGTTCCTGACGTTGTTTTGAACCCAATTGTCGGCGGTGGCTTGGCTGGCTGCTAAAGATTGAATAAGATTGTCATCATTGGGAATGTCGAGCACCAGCTCGATGTTGGTGCCTCTGAGGGCTTGGAGAGCAGCCTCATCCGGAGCGTAAAGTCTCATTCTTTGGATGTTGTTTTGGTTGTAGAGATCTATGACTTCTTGGCGAGATGGTAAGTCACTGCCCTTCATGCCATAACAAACGCCAATTTGGGCATCTGCATAAAAATGTGCAAATACAAAGTTACTATAGTCTATATATTGATGATGAGAATGCTTTATAAAATATGGCATTGAATTAAGGGATTAGTGTTTGTTCATCTTATCTTAAAAAAATTAAGAATAAAATTATTTTAAAACTATATTATTTTAACAAAATATTATAAGAATGGACAAAAAAACACCTTAATTCATGGTTTAAAAATAAGATATTTTAGTTTTTTTTTTCAATAAATGTTTATTAAAATGACAAATTTTAGAATAATATTCATTCTAATCTTTAAAAGGTAAGGCAGATAACTATTATTCCTTTGATTAAATAGTTAGATGTATACTAAATAATAAACGATAAAAAATATAATCATATTATATAAACCATTAAAAAAAGTATTATACATCTATTATTTTCATTAATTAAAAAGACAGATATATTAAAAAAGCGAGAGAGTTACTTGAAGTATTAAGGAAAGCCATTACAAGGCTGAAGAGGAGAATAGTTGAAGTCATGAAACCACGTGTGCCGGCTAAAAATGATACTTTAGCCATGATAACAGAAAGAGAGAAAGCTATCTATAAATAATACTATCAAATTGGGGGAGGATCTCAACCGTGCTGATGCCCACATCTTGGCTTGCCTTATATAGACTCCCAAATTTTGTAGAAAAGTCTTCCACGAATGGATGCTTTTTGTCATTCAAAGTAGCCTAATTGCCATTCAAAGTAGCAGGATGTACTCGTTACAAATTTGTTAGCATAATTAGATCGCTCAAGCACTAACATTATGTAAAAGTCATCCATACAAATGTACCGTTCAAATTGTTGGCCTAATTTTGAAACATTGATTCTAGAGTAATTTCAAGAGTTTTATTAATGATATAAATGTCTCTAACTCATAGGATACCTATTCTTGACTTTTGATTTCAAAGTCTTTCCGACATTTTATTATGTAAAACATTGACATAGACTTTGTCGGTTGGTATTGTACTATGTTATAGACATAATTGTAATTTTTTTTATTATTTTAAATATATATAAAACATTATTAAAATTTTAAAAAAATTAAAAGTTTATATATATATATATATGTATATATATATATATATTTGTTGATCTTGGTTTTATAGGACGAATCTATAATCTTGGCCGTAGAATTTCTAGATTAATTGTGCGTGCACATTTTTTTTTTTTTTAAAAAAAAAACATAAAAATTAAAAGTTTATATATATATATATATTTGTTGATCTTGATTTCATCGGACGAATATAATCTTGGCCATAGAATTTCTAGATTAATTCTGCGTTTACATTTTTTTT